CACACGCATACGCACACGCACACGCACGCACACGCGCACACACACAATATTCATGAATGACTGTACAGCACACAACTTTGTAGTAGATAACATCCAAATCAATTCACCCAATTCTTGTTTTGAGAGTGATGTCAGAGAATGCTGTGCAATCATTCCACTCTGGAAAAGAACAAAGCCATTAAAAGGAGCTTCATCAAATCAGACATCTGTTTATAGTTTGTTGTCAAGTGCCAATCATGTAATGTTTAAATCAATAAAACATACAGGATGTAGCACACACACCTAGATTTCCAAGTTTACGTTAATGTAGTTGAGTTTTTTTCTCAATCACACAGCTATAAAACCACATCTATTCTAAAACAGTCGTATATAACCTTAGTGCAAAGCTCCCCATGTTTCTGTGTGTCTGAATCTAACTCTTGGTTTCTTTTTGGTTACACCACCTGAAGCTTTGTCCAAATTACTCTCGACACTGAAACAGATGGCGTTTTACATATTGTGCAAAGCCTGTAACTTAACCATGAATAAATATAAGACAGAGACAGGACCATTTAAATCATTTCTACATCTCTGACATGTGAGTTGTCGCCCTCATCCTCTCAAACTTTAACCAAATCCTTTGTCCTGTTTTGCAGAGCCTTATCTCCATCACAGTCCATTTAGTTTTAGTTTAATCCACTTAATCTATTAATATCTCACACACATAAACATTTTTAATTAGGGGTCTCTGCCTTACAGTGTAAAGCACCTTGAGACAACTTCTGTGTTTAAATATAACTGAATTGAATAAAGTTTTGAATTGCATCACATTTTGACGTGTTCATGAGCAACAAACTCCTGGGTGGAGTTTGGCTCACATCACCCAATGATTCAGAAGAATCCACTAAGCAATTAGAAATGTCTAAAGTTGTTTTTTGTTTTTTTATTTATTGTTTAATATGAAAGTTAGTCATGAAGAAGGATTGAAAACAGAAAATGCTATTTTAAGCAAGCACTCCAGCTTTTTAAATGGTAACTTGCAGATAAATGTTTTTCTTTCTGTGCTTTATTCTATTAAATGTTGTGTCTGATTGAGTATATCTTAAGTGTTAGTGCAGTTAGTGGCCTCAGCGTCTTCACAGCCCTTTTCACTTTACTTTTTACTTTGCTTGCTTACAAGTTTCACAACTTGAACTCTTTGTGCGTGAATAACCAACGATGACCCTGAGAACTGCAGGAACAATCTTCAACATGTTGTAAATATTCTCCTCATCAAAACATTTTCAGAAAAAGAACAATTGGAGCGTAACATGGTAATATAGTACTGTTTGTTATACTAAGTGCAACTTTTTGTCATAAGTAAAATGATTCAACCAAGTTGACCTGATTGTTTCTTTGAACATTTTGTTGATTTTAAAGAAGACAGAAAGACAAAGAAAATGGGGAGAGACAGGGATGAAGGTGGTTACCGAGTGCAGAGATGTGGTTTCCTTTGCCGTTGACACCAGCTTCCTGTTTGTGTTATTTCTGGTGCAATCTGTATGTCTTCCCTCTTGTCTTTCATTAACTCTCTCTCATGTTCTCTTCTCATTTCTATCAGCCCTTCCTTGTTCACTATGCTCATTTTTCCATCTCCTGTGTGGTGAAGTGAGGGCTGAGGGTTGAGCTGTTCGTGTCACACAATGTCTCCACTACTGAAAGGATTTGAACCAAAAGCTTCTTACTGATGAAAACTTCAGTGATGTCACTGTAGAGGAGTCCTTTCTCCTGTAACCTCACAATCACCATTTCTACACACTTTGTGTTGCAGATTTTAAATAGAGTTTTTTAATTGCCATTTTGTCATGTGGTCTTAAAGAGCTAACCAATGATATACCAACTAAAAGCTTTATAAGAATAAAAGTCTTCCAATAAGGAATTTGTATATTGAACAAGAAAAAATAACTCCACATACATTGTGGCTACTGGGAGTATTGTAATACAACCAGTAATGGTAATGCATTGTACATTATTTCTTTTTTCATTATTTATAATGTGGCATAAATGCAGAGAAAACTATAACAGAATGAACTGCGGTACTGCACAGGAAGACAAGTATGTGGGGCTGGGACAGGTGAGCCTGGGATCGGCTCCATGGACTGTGATGATGATTGCAGGCCGAGCATGTGGGGGCATGTGCAGCTGGAAACTGCTCTATGTTTTTAATGTTGATTGTTATTTTTACACCACTGGACCGGAAAGGTCACCTCATTCCTTTAGTCGTGTTGGTACTAGCTCATGTACCAATCACATGCATTTTGCTGCATCTATGTATAGTTTATTTTTCTCTTTCTCTCGCTCTGTCTTTTCACTTTTGTTTGTCTATCTGTATCAACCACATTTTCAACAATAAACTGAAAAGATACATGAGCACACGGGAGGTAGGGGAGGGGCTGGTTGTGTTAAGAGATTTGGGTAATCCAGTGTCAGTAATGAAAATGAACAAATGGGCTGCTGTCAGTGGTTGTAGGCTTGGTGCACAGCACTACCTAGCCTGCTATAAAACTATATTGACCCATTGCCCCACATGCTCTTCATGCCACCTGGCAAATACCTGGCATGTCAGATTACCATTTCAGGCCTGGTGGCAGCCAATGGCAACACGAGTTGAACAGGCAAGTTTGTAGCAACTAATCCATCTTTCATATAATCACTCAAACCATGTAGGAACGCTCCAGAGAGAGCCTTGTCCTCCCTGCTAGCCAAAACAGCCTGGCTCTGACACCATCACTCTTTCTGTGAATGGAAACTGTAAATGTGCTGGAAAGCAAACAGAAGGCAGCCATGCTCATTGGCACAGTTCAGCAGAACTCTGATGAAGCAAAAAGGAAAAGACCATGGCTGTGTGTTGGCTTTGTCACAATAAACTGGAATATAACCAGTCGAAGTCAGTAACCATGTAAACATGTTAACATTATATATCGCACAAACTGGAGCACACAGTGGTGTGAAAAAGGGTTTGCCTCCTTGATTTCCTATTTTTCTTTATGTTCGTCACACTTAAACATTGCAGATCATCAAACAAATGTAACTATTAGACAACAATAACACAAGGAAACATAAAATGCAGTTTCTAAATGAAGGCATTTATTGGTAAGGGGAAAAATCCAAACCTACATGGGCCTGTATGAAATGTCTTTGCCCCCTATCCTAAAAATGTAATTTAGGCTCGCTCATCTTTGACCCCCCCACTCCAAAGTCTTCATCTTGTTTTTCCTAAGCCATGCAGAGGTAGATATTCTGGTGTGTTTTGGATCATTGGCCTGCTGCAGAACCAGGTGAGCTTCAGCTTGAGGTCATTAACAGATGTGCGGACATTCTCCATCATGTTTTGGTAAACAGCAGAAGTCGTGCTTCCATTTACCACAGCAAGTCTTCCAGGTGCTGATGCAGCAAAACAGCCCCAGACCATCACGCTAACACCAACATATGTTACTGTGGTATGATGTTTTCTGAAATGCTGTTACTTTTACTCCAGAGTGTTTTTTCAGAAGTCTTGGAGATAATCAAGATGTTTTCTGTTAAAACTGAGACGAGCCCTTATGTTCCTTTTGCTCAGCAGTGGGTTTCGTCTTGAACTCTGCCATGTAGGCCATTGTTGCCCAGTGTCTTTCTTTCTTATTTTTTACATATATGTATATATATAGAGGTAAGTTACTGCCTCATCTTGATTATCTATATTATTACTGAAGAATGTTATTTCATAATGTACTAACTGAGTTATTAAACTTTCTTCATACAACAATAACTCCTCTATGCACTTTTGGCCCATGTTGCACAAAGAAACAAAAAGATCTTGTTTCTCAACACATCCAGCTCCAACATCTGTTAGGAGGACATGGACACACCCGTGATCTTCTATCCTGTCGTCCTCCTCTCACCTCAGCCGGTCGCAGCAGATGGCCCCGCCCCTCCCTGAGCCTGGCTCTGCTGGAGGTTTCTTCCTGTTTAAAGGGAGTTTTTGTCAGGGCTCTGAGTGCGGGCAGGCGGAGAGGAGGATCCAAATGCAGGACTCAGACACTAACTTGAAACTCAAAAACCTCAGCTTTATTGCTGGTACGAAAACAAAACATGACGTGAACACTGAATACGGAGAACAGAAACACACAGGCACAATCTGATGGTACGACACGACACCGAGCATGGGAAAACACAGGGCTTATATACACAGGGTAGTAACGGGGGAATCGGCAACAGGAGGGAGGCACAGCTGGGAGAGATCAGGGCTAACGAGACAGGGGGAACAAAGCTGCACACATACTAACATAAGACAAAGACTTTCACAATAAAACAGGAAACATGAATCGCAACTCAGAGACACGGACTCAACACAGAGACAGAAAATGACACATGGAACTGAACTATACATGAAACCACAATTCCTAAAACATGGATAACAGAAACATGAAATTCTAATAATAATAATCACAACCACAACAAGAGAACAAGAAAACAATCCATGATGCAAAATTAAACCAAAACATAATAAACTCAAAATACTGGGTCCAACGGACCCAGAACCGTGACAGTTTTTCCTTCCCACTGTCGCCAAAGTGCTTGCTCATAGGGGGTCATATGCTGGCCATCTACTGAGACCGGTTGGGGTGAGAGAAGGAAGACAGGATAAAGTGATGCTGTGGAAGAGAGACAGAGGTTAATAACAAGTACGATTTAGTGCAGAGAGGTCTGTTAACACATAGTGAGGGAAGAAGAAACACCCA